TTGGGTTTCAGTGCTGAGACTCCCCATTGGGTTTCAGTGCTGAGACTCCCCATTGGGTTTCAGTGCTGAGACCTTCAGCGGCACTTTGTGGGCACGGGACCCCAGTTACAGGAATTGTGATGCCATATTGCTGCAGCTACTGCCGATCCCCACTATCTCAATTCATTTTCTGGACTGTAACAGGTCATCCAATTACACTCCCCCCTTCCCCCCCAGCCCCGCCCCCAGGGAATGTGCTTCCTGCTTTGCAAGGAAGCACATTCCATTACTGAACCACTCCCCTGCTGTGGCGTTGAAATCTGTGTTGTTTTAACGTTCCCTGGGTCTAGCTTGGCCATCTGGCACGATGAGCAATTCCAGTCCTCTGGGCAACAGTTGTTCATTATATGAACGTAGATATCATGGCTGGTAGCCATTGTTCCTCTTGCCTGAGGAAGTGCCTTTTTCTTTGCAGCTAATTGTATCTACTTTGTGCAACACGCCCATGTCATTCCTACATCCTTTTGCTGGCCAGGCTTCACTTAGCACAAGAGTGGTACTGTGCCTGTGCTATTTAGTGTACCTCCCCTAGCTCTGTGGTGTGAATGTCAGGGTTGACGGGGTCTGTGCTCTGCTAGGAAAGGTGAGCAGGGGTGGAGAAGGTGAGCAGTCCTCGGCTGGATATTGCCAAAGGTCTGGAGACCTATTACATCTAATCCTCACAGGAGTCCCAAAAAAGAAAGATCGATGACTGGTTTCACACCTGTAGAAACAGGCTCCAGGGCTAAGTCGTGTGCCTGAGCTGGCATATAAGTGACCGAGCTAGGACTCAAGGCAGGCTCGTCCAAATCCACCAGACTTCCCTGCTTCCCAGCAATCATTACATAGTGCAGTGGACCTTTGGACACTGACATGAGGAGGGAGACAAGTGAATGCAAATAAAGCAAGGAGAGGTAGAGAGACTCCGGGCAAGTGTCCTCCCATGTAGTGGACAAACCCTGGGTGACCCTGAAGCATGCACACTAATGTGTGCCTATGCCAATGACTTCAGCTACAACAAGTCAGTGACACTGCACCTCAACTGAACTGGCAAAGGTGCTTTCATGGTAATAACCGAGGAACCTTCTCTCGTGTTCTCTTTAGTATCTTGCCTGTCAAGATAGCGTTGCTTCTGTCTGACTTTATGGGCATCTTTAACATAATGGATGGCTTCGTTTGCAAGAACAAGAAACACTAAAGACCAGCTCCACGGCCGATACCATCCGATACCCAGTGGTGCATAATGCTTATTTCGATGGAGAACAGCATTTTTGTCCAACAGGATGTATCTGGAAACTACAAGTACCCTTCTTTTTCTGTTACCTAGACTCGTATTTTCAACTGATGCCTTTGCAAATAATGTTGCTATCTGTTTTTTGGCTAGGTTATTCTTTTTTTAATGAAAAAAAAATAGCCCGTTTTTGTCAAGTCTGCTTGCAACAGATGGGAGAGAAAAATAATCCTCTCTGTCGTGAACTGCCCTTTACTTTGGTCACGGGGGGGGGGGGGGGGGGGGAGGTGGCTCAAGTGAAGCAGGGAACCGGAGTGAGAGGTGAGGAGCATGAATGAGTACAGTAAAACCTTGCACTGCAAGTAACTTGTTCCGCAAGTGTTCCACAAGATGAGCAAACATTCCTAATAAGTTTTGACGTGATAAAGGAACGATGTCTTGCAATACGCGTAGTACGTGACAGTGAATGTCACGTGATCACGACTTAGCCAATGGTTCTTGAAATTCGCTTTGAGGTACAAGTGCTTTCGATTACAAGCACGCTTCCGGAACAAATTATGCTCGCAAACCAAGGTTTTACTGTAGATTGCTAGAATGCCCTCTTTACAGAGGACACAGGGCTCTGGGTTCTCTATCACCCTGCTCTCAGCCTTGGCCTTTTTGAGCCTATGCCACCAGGTGTAGGACAGGCCAGCCTCCCGTGTCCTTCTTCCCAACACAGTCACACCAACGCTGACTGCTTAATGCCCTGTGTGCTCACAGACTAAGTGCCAGTGCTGCTGAGTGTACATCAGGAGCCACTGTGTCAGGAAGCCTTCCTGCACATTCCCTGAATGAACTTGGGAGACAGTGACTCTAGCCCAAAGTCTACACAGGAGCACATTTTTTTCCCTAGAAGAGATCAAAGAATGGTTGCTTCTGACTCTGAAAATGACATTTCTACTGAGCTAGTTTAACTGCTGCCTGTTAGTCCGGAAAACATATCCATGTGGTTAATTTCAAATGTTTAATTCAGCACTTCAGGTTGGGGTTCGTGTTGTATTTTTCCACAGAATGGGCAATTCTACGCGTTGGTATTCGTCGATGCTGCCTTTATCTCCAATCTGTTGTATTCTTGCAGCTTAATGGCCTGGCCAACTGCTCTCATGATTTGGATACTAACTATAAAAGCAAGGTTAAGAAAACTGTGTTCATTACCGTATCCCTGGAACTCCTTCGCAGCCTGGGAGGGGGCGCCTGCCTCGGGAGAAAAACAGCAGCCTTTGTCTCTTACCTTCTTTTGTACGGGGAGCAGGAAAGGATGAGAAGTGCTGTGGAAGATGCTGTGAGAGTCAAAATAAACAAGTCATGAACGTCGTGGGGTAAGATGCTCTTAGAAAGGCAGTGGTCTCAGACAGTGTGGAATCAGTGGAATCCACTGCGGACTGATTTATCTTGAGCCGCCTGCATGATTCTGACTCTGCCCCTGTATTTCCGTTTCATTCAGAAAGCCTTAAAAAAAGGGGGGAGGGGGGAACCTTGTTTTATAATAATAAAAGCAATAGCTAAGGTTTCATTGTGCCTGGCACGAAGCTATGCGCTTTGCACACATTGTTTCGCTAGACAAGCCTGTCACACCATTTCTCAAAGAATAATAAAGGTATTTGGGGTATGCCAAAGAATAAAAGGCATTTTATTTCACAAGAGGGACATCCTACTCAACTGCAGATGCGTACTGAGCGACTCAAAAGGCCCTCTTAGCCTAACCGGCTAATGTTCCAAATCCTTGCTTAACAAGGTTAATTAAGAGAGAGGCACAATATCGCTCCTATATTACGATTCCAAAAGCGTATATTCTAGGGGCCTGTCTATTTAGCTGAAGAATAAAGAAGAGACTCGAGGGATTTAGGAGAACAAAGGTCTGGGGTATAGCGGGCAGCCACCACATCGTAACAGCATTAACAGCAATTATTTCTAATTGGAGTGCATCTTGGCGGGACCTCTACAAAGTCCTGAAATTCAATTGTGGTTTTACAGTACCCATAAAATTGTCTAAACAAATTCAGATTTACTTGAAGAGCTCATGTGAGAAGAGAGCGCATGTAAATGAGAGGGTTCCAGAGGGTAATGTGCACCAAGGTGACCTAATACAACGGGGAGCAAGTGTTCTCACTTGAACCGGGTTTCGTACCGGTCGTCGTTTGAAATGGAGTCCTAACGAAGCCATGATCAAGAGCCCAACACGGGAGCAACCCTTGAGAAAGGTTCAAGGACGAGAGCTGTACCTCAGGACCGGGCACTCTGCCCTCCAGGATGACGTCATCTAGCGTCCCGTAGTCCCCACGCTGCTCAAGAACCAAGAAGAACTCTTGGTATTCTGAGCTTGGCTGGATAAAAATAGGTGACCGTGTCCTTTTCCTTGTTCATTTGGTGATGCAGTAGGAGTCAGCTCAGGCTGCGTGCAAAATACCACAGACTGGGTGGCTTCGACCACAGAAATTTATTCTCTCGTAGTGTTAGAGGCTGGGAAGTCCAAAATCGAGATGCCAGAGAACACTGTTTCTGGTGAGGGCTCTCTTCCTGGCTTGCAGACGGCCTCTTCTCACTGTGTCTTCACACGGCCCTTCTTCCATGTGCGGGCACCGAGCGAGACCTGTAGCTGTTCCTCTTCCTATAAGGCCACTACTCCCCTCACGAGGGCCCCCCTGCCTGATCGGATCTGTCCTTGATTGCCTCCCCAAATCTCCATCTCCAAGCACCCCCTTGGAGATGGGTTTGGGGCCATCCCTGTATGAATTCGGAGACATGTAAACAGTCCATGCCGATGCCAAGATAGAAAAGGAACTCCAGGCCATGAGCGATCTCTACGCTCCCACCGCGTCCTACCGCTGAGGGGGTCGCGGTTTGTCAAAGGAAAGCAGCTCGAATCTTGGAGGTAGAGTGAATTGGAGGTACCTGAAAAACAAAGCAAAACTAAACCAATCCCAAGCTCTGAGAGTCAGCCCTCGAGAGAAACGTGACCAAGAATTGGGGCCAGCCGACCACAGCCGAGGCGACGCAAGACGCCCCAGGCGGAATGGTTCTGTGAAGAGATCTTGGGGCGGCCTAGCCACCTTCATTTCCAGGATAGTGACCTGTTTGGGGTTGATCCAGGCACCCCCAGCTCACTCTCCACCCCCCCACCATCACTCACTCTTCCCCAAGGGTAACCGCTCCTACCTCACCAAGAAAGTTGAATCCGACAAGTACAAACTCCCTCAGCGACCCAAACCAATATCTTCAGGAGCATTTCTTTCTGCCTCCACTTCCCCTCTTGTCCTCAGCCTCCGAGGAGGCAGTGAACCCGCTTGGGCTGACCCTGTGGCCTGTGCCCTCCACCCAAAGCCTTCCAGGGCTTTCTTGGAGGCACCTTCTTGCACACCCTCAACCTCTCCACCAAGAGTTGCTCCCTGCATCCTGTAGGCACACTAAACACCATGCAAAACTTCAAAATAATAAAAATAGGGGTGCCTGGGTGGCTCAGTCGGTTAAGCGTCTGACTTCGGCTCAGGACATGAGCTCATGGTTCGTGAGTTCGAGCCCCGTGTCGGGCTCTGTGCTCACAACCTGGAGCCTCCTTCGGATTCTGTGTTTCCATCTCTCTCTGCCCCTCCCCTGCTTGCGCTCTCTCAAAAATAAATAAACATTTTAAAATGTTTGTCTCTCTTAAAAATAAACATTTTAAAAAATTGTAAACAATAAAAATAAACTTTACAAAAATCTCCATCCCACTGGGGCAGCAACTCGCCCTGCTCTCCTTTAGCAGCATCATTTAAAATGGAGCCCAGAGGGATTTGTCCATCTCCTCTCCTCACGTTGGTTCCTAAGCCATCCAGCTTCCACATCCAACAGGGATCCCTGGGGATTTCATTCCTCATCTTATTTTACTTCTCATGATGATATTATTAATCTCTCTGCCCTTGGCCTTGGTATCATCGGCCTACTGGTCTCTTCCACTGCCCACTCCTTAAATTATCAGTTTCTTCAAGTTTCTGCCCTTGGATTCCTCATGGTGTAGATGCCCTGGGGACTTCTAACCAC